GGGCAAGTTCTTTTCCTCTTGAGTAGAATGAAAATAACCTGAACTGTAAACCTGATCTTAATCCAGAGATGCTTTTATCATTACCTCCTGCTGCATATTTAAAGAAAGAAGAAGTGTCATCATTGGCAGCAAATTTTACAGATAAAAATTTTTTTCTTTGTAGATCACAGTGGAATCCTGACGCTGCTTTGCACGAAGGACACGTTGTCTCAGCACAGGAGCTGAATGTACTCTTGCAACCTGTTTTTACCCAGAATTCCGGAAACCTCATCCTGTTCCTGCAAGATACAGTATGTAACATCAATTCCTTTTCTGTCACCAATGCCAAGTGCAAGTCTGTACCTAAATGAGATGCCCTGGCTCCTTCTCACCAATCTACTCCTTTTGTTTTTCAGCTTAGCGTAGATGATTTCACGTACCTCAGCGAATCCTACAGTAACAAGAATCCATTTCAAAATGTTCAGGCAAGCATTTCTCTCTTTTATTTCTTTATATGCAGTATTTAAGAAAGATACAAACAAGCAATAATTGGGAAAATTAAACTGAATTGCAGCAGTTTTCCTGTTTAAATTATTTATTGAGATTATTACAGTTTAAGAAAAATGGGTTAAAGGAAGTCAACAGAGTTTGCAGAATTGTTTTGTAGCTATTTTATTTCTGAAGATCAGGTTTTCAGAATTCATTGTAACTGACAAAATTGTTCCTAAACGTGCTGCAATTTTGTATTGTAAAAAACAACATAAACTTCCAGACTAACACCCCAAAACTCTGTTTTGAAGTCATAAGAAGAAAAGAAGTTATAGGAATCAATTATTTATTTCTGATTTTCAGAATTTAACATCTATTTTATTTTGATAGAAACTGAAGCTCTCGCAACTCATGCAGGGAATTAACTGTTTCATATTTGAATGTAGTTAATATATGACTGGATACCAAATTGATTTAATCTTCATGAAAAAAAGCCGTGCTATTTGAGTAATTTGAAATTAACTCCAGCACAGGCAGAGTACTCCTGAGCCAGGCAGCAACTCCAACGTATCTTCTCATTCAGGAGGTTTACAGATTTTGTGCACATCATACTTGCACAATGGTTTACTGAACTGTAATTAGACAAAGGAAGTGTTGACATGTGGAAGTCCTGTAGGCAGAACAGGATGAACAGAGCGATTAGTAATGTAACTGGTATCAGAGCACATGAGGAAGTGTAAATTCCCAAGCACCACACGGCAAGCTGTATGTGTAATTAAATACATAAATATTCACATATTACCTGTATCTACATCTATACTGTCTAAGAACCTCCCATCTTTGTGTCAATGATGCCGGACATCTTCATATCTTTGACATATAACAGCATTTTAACACTGATGCTGGAACAAAACCAACTATTTACAGCAGGTACATGTGTTTTCTGAGGAATGAATGGATGTAATAATCATTTGTGAGCATAAGGATGAGCGGTTGCGCCCACAGGCAGATGTACTGGCACTTCTCTGGTATTCCTTATCTGCTTTGGGTTTAAAATCTATGCAAGGCTGTGTCTGGAGTAAATTTTCTTGCTGCCTGACTGCAAAGCTGGTTTGATTTTAGAAGCTGTGTACACATGGCACTGCAAACTCCTAATGATATGGTGGTCTTATTTAAGTAGGCCCTGGATGTTTAAGAGGAGGGATATTAAAGTATTTAAAATGTCCTTCTTTTGCCTTGTAATCAGGACTCCATCGGCAGTGTAGATAGAGCTTATAGCCAAAGGCTAGAGATTAGTCCAGAGGCTGATGGGTTTAGAAATCGGGTGTACTGGGGACCTACCAAGGCTAGTGAGGAGATCCTCACCTAAACAAAGGATTCTGTAAATCTTTGGTCTGTATCTGGCACAGCAAAGATTTAAACCCAGGTTTTCAACAAGCTGAATTAATGTCAGTAGCTTTTTTTTTTTTTTGCGTTCTGGCCTTGCCTCTGTTCCCTTTCTGTCTTGGAACTGAGAAACTTTTTGTCATTACAACTTCTTTAAATCCAGAAAGTTTCTTTTGACAAATTGCTCACCTTAACTCCAGCACTTCCTAGGTTGGTTCAGTGGGACTTGGCAATCTTAATGCTTTTCTGGCATAGTATTGTGGGGGTGAGGTCCTGTAACTTGAGTGAAAGAAAACGAGACGTATAAACTAAATATTTCTTTTTCACTTAGGTGCCCATATGGAGAATTTTTCCTATTGCACAGACTTGTAGCTTTTAGGGAAAGGATCTTTATAAACATCCAGTTCCATCTTGGATGTAAGAGAGGCTACAAAAATTTGCTTAGTTGGTGTTGCATCAGTTGAACTCCACTTGAGCTACTCTGGGAAAGAAAACCATTCTTAATTGTGCTATGAAGGATTTTGTCATACTATTCGCAGCACACAGGACAAAGTGAAGGTCAGATCTGAATTTTCTCACTGGGGAAATTAGAATCTTTGATGTTGCATAATCACAGATTTTTGTACCTTCACACTCTATATTATACAAGTGGTTCATTAAGTTACAATAGATGTTCTATGTCATTTGAGTATCCTCCTTTTGAACTTCAGAAATGCAAATTTATTCACAAACCTAAACTGGAGATCTTATTTACAATGTTTATGTGCATGTAGCAGTATGTGTACTACAGGAAGGAAGTGTTATTTGTAAAAGAGTTATAGGCTTGTAAACCGCAGAGGCATTTGCAGATATTAGGTTTGTTCAGCTACATTAGCAGCTGTTTTGAGCTTTTGGGATCCAAGTGTTTGTATGCAATAAAAGAATTCCATTTCCAGTTAACACAAAAGGAATCTTATAGGTAAATCATTTATCTTAAACATTCAAAGAACTTTTTAATTAAATAATAAAATACAAAGATTAGCACTTGGGGAACTTTTTTGTCATGTAGTCACCTACCCTACAAACTATTTCTCTTTAATATTAGCTTTGGCTTTCCCAAAAAAATGCTCAGCTCCTTAGAACTGCAGTGTGTGGTAACACATTCCAATTAATGGCCAGCTGTGCAGCTGCATAATTATTATTGTAAGTCATTGCCATTTTTGGTTCTATATCTCCATTGTATCCTCACTCAGTGGTCATAGACTGAGGAGTACTATTTAGTCACATGTGATACAGAGGTCCTGTTATAGTTTAATTGTCTTTTGTTCCCTTTCTCTTTACATTTTTTAGTTTTATTATATTATTTTTGACAAGGGGGCATGCAGAAGTGCATAATAATCAGGATATAAGTTCATCATAGATCTATTTAGTGACATGATGATGTTTTGTTCTCTAGCCTTTTTCAAAAAACTACGAATATTTGATTTTTCAATTCTGATCACTACCGGCCACTGAACTGACATTTTCAAAGAGCTGTTGTGCCTCTTAAGTTTTCATAACTGAAGGGTAACGCTCAGTTCTGAGCCTATTATCCATTATTGTGTACATAAAATTAGTGTTGCTTTTTTTCTCACCCTCTGCTCTGCTAAAGTCAATTTACGTTGAATCTCATCGGTTACTTTGTTGGCCAAGAGCTTGTACCAGAAGTTGCTTCTGCAATTTGTCAGCCTTTGTCTTTACTATCTTGAATAATTCAGCCTAAGCAGCAGATTTCATTAGCTCAATATTTATGCCTTTTTACCAGATAATTTATGAACGTATGGGACAGAACAGACCCTAGAGCAGGAACAGATACTTTTTTCTACCCCTTGCTTGCTATCTCTATACCTACTCTTACCTATCCTTCACCTACCTCCATGTGAAGCCTGTTTTTCTCATGCTGAAGCTGCTTCATTTCTTCAGGAGTCTTTGCTTCAAGACTGTGCCGAGTGCCTTTTGTGGCTCCAAGTACGCTGTGTCAGCTGGAGCTCCCTGATGCACATGCCTATTGACTCCTTCAAAGATTTTCAGCAGAATTGTGTGTAACAATCTCTTATAGATGGATGCATGAGTCTTTAACAAAGATTTTAACAATATATTTTTAATGATATACCTAAATATACTCCATTCCAGCTTCAAATTGCTTAGGTGTAGTATCAATCCAATCCACGTAACAGTGAAACCAGAGCTGGGCAATTAAGTCCAAGCACAGCTTTTTCATAGTCCAGCTACTTGGCTTCAGGATGGCTAGAAATGTGAACAGAGTCATCCCAGACCTACCTTCAAAAAAAACCTGAACAGTGATATATATGTAATCCAAGAGTGAAGTTTCTTGTAATATTTCACTCAGGAGAGGTACTTCAGGGGACACTAAAGAAGGTAAATGTACTCATAATCAGAGTAAGCTGCCCATAGATAGGTTATAGATTCTGGCATTTAATGTAGGGAGCTCTGCTATCACTCCAACAGCTCAACAGGAGGTTTTCTTCCCTTTCCCTTTCCCTCCCCCTTTCCCCTTTCTCCTTTCTCCTTTCCCCTTTCCCCCTCCCCCTTTCCCCTTTCCATTCTCCTTCCCCCTTCCTCTTCCCCTCTCCCTCTTACTCTCTCCCTCTCCCTCGCCCTCTCTCCATCTCCCTCTCCATGTTACTGTGTGGTTGTACCTCTTTGTTTAGTTCTTTAGCAGAATGCAAAATCAGGTGTTTCTCAGTAGCCTCTTTATGCTCCACCCTCCTTTGGACTTCCCATGTTTTGAACATCCACGGTACTTGAAATCCTTACATGCATAAAGCAACAGCCGAGTATTGTAAAGACAAGTGAGCAGTGGCCAAATGTCAAGAAGGAGAAACAAGAGGCGTGGGATCAGAATGGCTACCTGAGGCTAACGAGTAGATATCCAGCTGTGTCTGCCCTTCAGATGGAAAACAGTTGAATACTAGTGGCTGGAAGCTGAGACAGATGGCAGTGCAGGATTGGTTAGGAGCAGAGGCACAATTCAAATATTACTCAGTAATGATGCATTTTATATCTTATTCTACAATAAATGAGTAATCTGTTTAATATATATCCTCTGAAGAAGTGGTTGCTGCCATTCTGGCTGCTGCTAGTGGGCAAGGGATTAAAGTGTTGAAAATAAATTCTATTGCTCAGAATTTTAGCTCTAAATTCACGTATGCAAACAAACCAAAATGAAAAAAGCAGACTTCCAGTATCTGAAGGGGGCCTGCAAGAAAGCTGGAGAGGGACTTTTTACAGGGGCTTGCAGTGATAGGATGAGGGGTAACAGTTTTAAACTGGAAGAGGGTAGATTTAGATCAGATATCAGGAAGAAATTCTTCACTATGAGGGCAGTGAGACACTGGAACAGGTTGCCCAGAGAAGCTGTGGCTGCCCCATCCCTGGAGGTGTGCAAGGCCAGGCTGGATGGGGCTTTGAGCAACCTGGTCTAGTGGGGGGTGTCCCTGTCCATAGCAGGGGGGCTGGAACTAGGTGATCTTTCAGGTCCCTTCCAATCCAAACCGTTTTATGGTTCTATGATTCAATGAAATGTATCATCCTTTCCTTCCAGGCAGTGCTAAAAATGTTGCTCAAAGACCTGTGAACCAGATCAGTGCTTTCTGCTCTATTTCAATTTCTGCAGTTATTTTTCTATCAGTCTGGCAATTCAGACAATATTGCATAATATTCCCTTATAAGCATCTATAGAAATGTGAAAATAACTAGCCTTTGCCTGGAAGGAAAACATGTGAGCAATTAGAAAGAACCAGAGCAGGTCAGAAAAGTGGTAGGCAGTCAGAGAACATACAAAAAGCAAAAAGAGTAGGTGGAGAAAAGTGTTAGCCACACTACAACACTTGCATCAGTCAGAGGGGGAGAGAGAGTCTATAACAACTTGAATATCTGAATGTTGGATGGAGTGACAGACTCAATCTAGACTTAAATGTAGAAAATGGGAAAGCAAAGTTAACAAGTTCTAAACTAGGACTCAATGAAAAAATATATTCAAATATTCGTGTTAAATTTGGCTTACATTAATTTTGATCATTCTCAAGTCTCCATCTTGCATTTTCTTTTCCTGGATATTTCAAGTTAATTTTATTATCAAGAAAAGCCTTTGGAAAGGAAGTTTTTCAACTATGCAGGTTTTAAATTCATAGAATGAGAATGTTTTTAAATGCATTTCACTCAAGTATTTTCATCAGAAAGTCAGCTATGAGAATTGTAAATAAAGTGATAGATACCCTGATGCTTGATGAGCTGAACCAGTTTCAGCCTGAGCTTTATAATCTGTATTTTGAGTAGAAAGACAGAAAGTACATGACATGAAGTTTATTTGTGTGTGCCTAGAGGCTCTGTAGATCCTGAAACGTGCAGCTTGTTTTAATTAATAGTTAAAAATTAGACACTTGTCTGTACCATGTGCTGTACCACCAGGATGTACGCAAAGGAATGGTATTGATTATGCAAAGTATGACTCTGTACTGCTGCTGGAACTTGGGGTGTCTGACATTGGTCCTTCTCACCTCTGAGGGCCTTTAGTTAGATGGTCATCTGATGAACTTTGCTTCTGGCAGCATTCATAACCCATCTTTCCAATACATCCTTGGCTTGAGAACTTCTACATCATCTGTCTCTCCTCTTCCACCACACGTGTGGAAAGGACAGTAAGAATTTGGTGTCCCTGAGTGCCTTAAGCTTGCCCCAACAAGATGCAGGAATAAGAGCAACACAAGTGTCCCTTCACTGCCCCTTTCCATGAGCAGCCCGTAGCCAGCATCAAGCTGGTGAGAACTCACATAGTATTTACCAGGGTTCCTCACCTTGAATATTAAATTAAGGATACATAAAAAAGGTTTGTGTTTAATTATTAAGCAACTAAATAAACTGTTCATAAATTTATTACAGGAAATTCTTCAGTCTTCTCCTTCATCTTTAGTTTTGCCAGCTGTTGACTGCAAAGCTACCAGGTATCTTCTGAGCTTTCTTCAGGAGTCAGGAGATTGGAATTTAGCAAACATAACTAATCTCGATGTCTCTCAGCTGGAAGTGGATGCATCTAAACCAAACTTACTGGTGGTTCAGCTACAACCGCTTGTCAGGTAGGAGCTTGTCACAAACAGAACTGACCCACATATGTGCATGATTTTTAAAGCTTTTTCAAAAAGTCACTTGTATTCAGGAAATTTAAAGAAACAGAGTGGAAGCTTACAGGGTTAGCAAAGTTATTTTTCTTGCAAGGGAGAATTTGGTGTTTTTCAAAGTCCCCTGATGAGCTTACCAGGTGTATTAGATGAATTATGTTGAGAAAGTCAGTCAGGCATTCCTATTTTGTCTGCCTCATTATATGAGAACAAAGGGAAAACTATTAAAACCTAATGGCAACACACTTTTAGCAGAAAGGCTGAATTATTTTATGCAACACATGATTAACCTGCAGAATTAATTGCTAGAAGGCATTCCAGGGGTCAAAAAAACTGACAGGATAAATAAGCAAGCAAATAAACATACACACAAACCTGAAGTTAGCATGAATAAAAAGACTGGTTTTCAGCGCTCGAGAAGGAAGAGGGAGGCTATAATTCTTCATGTTTCCAGGCCTATGACAACTGTGATCTAACGGAGGTAGAGAGAGGCTGTTCCTTCAGGTGAATGTATATTTAGAAAATATAAGGCATGGGTGTATCGAGTCCCTCTGCTCAGCGTCTCCTGCTCTTTCTTCTTCTTAGCTGGGCATTTCTAGAAGTTGGTATACGGTGCATGTATCCTAAGGAAGTGCAGTTACGGCTATTGTGTCACTACACAAAAAAAGACATGATACCCATTTTAAGGAGCTCATGTACAAATGTTAGACAAGGGCCCAACACCAAATGAAAAGAAAGCTATGCAGAGATTGGTCAAAATAACATCAGTAGTCTGGCTTCTTTGCAGCTGAGGCAGTTTGAGGGGTTTGAGAAATCAGCTGAAGATGTGGGCCTTGTACTATTAATGGCTTTGGAGAAGAAAAAGCTCATGAGAAGGAAATGAGAGAATGACGGAGGGACTGATGCTGACAGTAATCCTTTTCCTAGTCAGTATATTTGTACATTTCTGGTTCACGTTGTTCTTGCCTATAAAAGATTTTTAATTATTTTTCTCCCACTCTTTTTGTAGTGGTTTAAATGAGATTTCCACCCTGGAAGCAATTACTGAAAATGGTAAGCAATATGACCAAGATACAACTAACATTTCATTATTTAAGTCTGTGTTTTCACTTGAGCAGATTGTATTCTATAGTTCCTGGGGTTTGCTGTAATACTGCTATTTAAAGTTTTTCTTTTCCCCCATCTATAGTACTTATAAGCAGTCAATTATCAGAGTGTTGAAGTACTGATTCAAAATCTACTGAAACGGATACAGGTTTGTGACCTGAAACGTAATGATAATTCACCTCTGCTTCAGGCATGGGCCTGTGCTCATGCTCTGAGATCCTCCCAGTTCAGAGTATGAACCCTGCATCTCCGTGCAGCTCAGATTGCCTCCTTGGATCTCACCCTGTACACCGGCAGCCGGAGGTGTCAGGCTCATTGGCAGTTTGAAGGTCTTGGTCTCAACAGAGGGTGTCTGAATGAATAGGGAATGTTTTTCTAATCTTTGTAAAACGATACTGGTGCCCTTCACAGCATTTGATTTTAGAGTCTTTTATTGGTTTTGCAGGTATTAAAGACTACTTGTTAAGGTTGAATCTCTCCGTATAACACTATAATAAAACTTTCCTTGACTAGCATCTGGCTGAAAAAGAGTTGCCATACACCAAAGAGGCACTGAGAGGCATCTGTTTTGTTGCAGGGCTTTTCCTTACTACTTTAAATTAGGAATCAAGTTATAAAGTCTGCAAATCACTGTAGTAATAGTTTCTGGGACATGTAGTGTAGGGGGCTGATAGTTAAACAGTATCCTTAATGCCTCTGACTTTTTCTGCCCAGACCTGGAGGTGTAAAATCAGAAGCCGATTTGAAAATCAGGGGGATATACATTAATAGTGTGTCCTTTCACTTAGTTTTTGCACTACTCACTCCAAGGCAAATGTGATTTTTATACTCAACTAAGCAGCTGGATTTCCATCGCTGAACTACAGAGGAGCTATTTAGTTCTCTTTTCTTGTCCCAGAGCACACTAGATAGGAAAAACCAAGGATAAACATTTCTTTCACCAGCTGCACAAACTCAAAATTAAGCTTCCCAAACTCTGTCTCAGGCCACTTTGTTTTGGAACAGCAAAATTGACGGAAGGCCAGTGGGATGATGGAGGAACAGGCCATACCAACTTTCTGGTTAGTGTCAACTAGCTGTTGAAAAAGGTACGTGGTTCAGGGAAGATGTGCCACTTTGTATGGCCAAGTGTCTTGGCTGTGCTCTAGACACGTGGAAGTGTGGGGCTGAATCTTCACCTTCTAGTTTATTTGCCAAAGCACCCACTCTGTGCATTGCTGAATAAAAACTGGAAATAACATCATCAGGACGTTTTAATTCAAATCAAAGTTACTGAGCCACAGTTCCTTAAAATTATCCCATAGAAGGTCTGTGCAGCAGCTGGGAGAGAATATTCCAAAAGTAGCAGATAATTGTCCCAAACACAGTCTTCCAAGTCATGCAATCTGGGCTTCAGCAGGTCTAGGTACTGTTTGCAGCACGACCACAATCATTTGCCAAATATTGCTGTCAGGAGACCCTTCAAGGTCAGAACTGCTTGCAAGGTCATGAGTTATTGGTGTTTGTTACGGAAGGACTGCTGCTAGATCCTACTTGGGTAAGCAACAATAAATACTATTTGTCACATACCTGCCACGTGACAAGAGAATCGTTAACCCATAAATGTTGCTTGTAATTTTTTTTCCCAGTATCAACAGTAGACCCATAGAAAAGCACTGCAGACCTGTAGTAGGCTGCCTAGAAGTTCACAAAGCCTCTTATGTTGGTCACAGCAACTTCTTTCCTTTCTGCTGTAGAGGGTTTTAAAATCTGATGTAATAAAATGTCAGAGAAATCTCTCCTGCTGTTTTACTCACTGCAGACAGGAAGCTCTGTAAGACAGAACAAATGGGCTCAGATTCTGCCCAAGGGAAATGTGCTGTTCTGAAGTATCTAGAAGCTGCAGTATGCAGAGGTTTTTAGCACGTTATTAAAATGAGCCTCATTACGAAATCCAAACTGAAATTCAGAATCCAAATGTGCTCAAGTTTCAAGGGATTCATACTTACTGTTTTCTTCATGCTTCTTTTCAGTATTTCTTCTTTCTTTCTTTTGCATGAGGTAGAGTTTGACATTACTACTCAGTTTTTGCCAGCTTTCCTAAACGTTTCTCTGGTCCGGAGAAGGTTTCGTCCTGTCATGTCAGTCTCACCTGCTGGACCCAGCGTACCTCCAAATCAATGGCAAAGCTGCCTGTGACTCCATCTGCATAAGATGAGGCTCTTTAATTGCTACTGCATTGTCCTGGTTTCAGCTGGGAGAGAGTTAATTTTCTTCCTAGTGTTTGTTATGTTTTGGATCTAGTATGAGAATAATGTTGATAACACATACCATTTTAGTTGTTGCTGAGTAATGCTTATATTAAGTCAAGAACTTTTTCAGCTTCCCATAGAAGCTGAGAGGGAGAATAGACAGGACAAGGTGGCTAAAGTAATATCCCATACCATAGACGCCATGCTCTGGATACAAATGGGGGTTGGCCGGGGGGCAGGAATCTGGGATTGCAGCAATCTGGGATTGCAGCTCGGAATGGTCTGGGCAATTAACCGTTGGTTGGTGAACAATAGTATTGCATCACTCATTTTGTATATTCTTTTATCATTACTGTTACTATTATTTTCTCTTCCATTACTGTTCTACAAAACTGTCTTTATCTCAACCCATGAGGTTTCCTTTTTTTTCCAATTCTCCTCCCCTATCCCAGTGGGGTTGGAGGTGGGGAGTGGGGAGTGGCTGTGTGGTCCTGGTTGCCAGTTAGGGTTAAACCATGACATACACGTATTCCTTTTTCCACTCTGATTCTCAGTGCATTTCTGCTCTCTCTCTTCTCTGCCATCCCCCCCCACCCCCCCCATCTTGGTCTTTTCTGTTGTTTCTTGTTCATAGTTTATACTCTTCCTTTCTTCTCACTTTTCCCCTTCCAGAACATTTCTTCTCAGTTCTTTTCTTCCATCCCTTCCACCCATGTGTAACATCACACAAAGAAATTAAGATAGATTAGAAATTAACAATAGCACTAACGCTGCACTCCCTGGTGAAATTCAAGGGGTGTATCTTCAATGAGTTAGAAAGGTTTAATCCTTCCACCAGGGCATAGATGCAGGCAGTTATGCTAATTGGAAGGCGTTATTCTGGACAAACTGTTTTACATTCATAGATCTGCGTAGTGTTTCCTTGATCCATGCTATCTAAAATAATAATAAAAAAACCCACTTCAGTAGAACCACTCTAAAATCAGTGTAACATCAATATGTCCATCTGGAGATACCTCTTGTTCCATTAAAGAAAGAGCCTGGGATGACTAATGTTCCTGTGTAGGCATGTAATTTAAGTGCTTTAAAGTATGGTGGACAATCTGGGCCCTTTTTCCTTGGAGAATTTGCAGATACTTCATAAGCAAGGTAGAGTTTTGATCACAGACAAACAAAGATCTATATCAACTCTGTTGTCATAAAGGTGTTCACAGCAGCTTCTCTGAAAGAAGGAATTGCCTCTCAAATCTTCCCAAAGGCAAGAGTTATAGATGTTACTGGTAACTATAGTTACACGTAGCTCCTTACTGAAGAGAAATGCAAATAACGTGTTATTTCAGAAAGCAATCAGTTGCTGTAATGAAAGAAAAACCAAAGACAATCTATGCATTTTTCTATGTATTCTTTTTTATTCTGCAAATTTTAGCTGAAGCTGCTGAGAGTTTCCAGTGAGTTGCGCTCTGTGCATATAGAATACAAAATCTACGTTATGTAATGCCTTGGACCTCCAGACTCAATATAATTACACTAGTGATATTTAAGTAGTTGTTTTTCTGAGTAAGTCTGTTTTTTATAGCAGATCCTTTTACAAATAATCTTTTAGAAGGAAAATTTACATAGCTGCGATTCTTGACTGATATGAGGAAAACAATTTGGTTAAAACCCTGCAGAAAAAACAATGCTTGCATTTTTACAAAAGCTAAACATTTTACTCAGCCAGGAGACCATAATAATTGTAAGTAGAAGAGGTTAAAAAGGATAATAATATAAGCTCCACTTCCAGTACAAGAAAATAAAATACAATTTCTGTAAAGTGTAACCTCAAAATCTGAGAAACCTGTATGTCCAGGCTATAAAATATCCAGTCACCAGAGTGGTACATGGATGAGAAGTAGGAAGGTACTGAAACAGTAAATGTGAGTCTGCTTGCTTGTTTCTCTATCAGTTTCAATAACAACACTAATAATGGTTCTTGATTCACAACTATTATGCTCCTTATCAAAAGCAGACGTTAATGTTTCTGCACGCAGGTTGAAAAAAATGTATCAGATGTAAATGTTTGTCACAACTGCCTGTGGTTTCAGAACTAAAGGAGGATCTTCTTTAGAGGAGTCTTTGGACCTCTTTGAAAGTTCCTCTCTTCCTTACTTGGCTTTTCCTTCCTTTTTCAGAAATATTCCCTCATATTTCTCCCTTGGCCTCCACTGTAGTCAACAGCAAAATTTTTCCATATCCTGTGTAGGGTGCAGAATCAGGCTCTAAATCCATTGAAGCAAAAGGGAATTTTGCTGCCAATAGGACACATAATCATGCTCCAAACTAAGCACTACGTTTTGAGTATTGTTTCCCAGTGATTGGTTCTGTGTACTTTGTAATTCACAGAATAATACTACTTAAGCTTTATTATTTATTTATTTATTAACTGGTAACTTGACTAATTGTATACGCATCCTGCTTTCATCTCTTGACTAATAGTATATGCATCCTGCTTTCATCTCTTAGGTGATTTCTTCTGCTCTTGCTTTCTATTGCCCAAAGTTCAACCTTTCACGTTTCTACGGTATTTACTTTTCAGTTTCAAAATCATCCCTTTCTCTGAACTGTTGCAACGTATTTGGTTTGTATCATCTCAATGAAATTGTGCGTTTTTCGAGACACTGAACATGTCTTATCCCATTTGAACCTGTTGACATACAAATGCTACGAGCATCTAAATTGCTTAAATAAACTAAATAATCTTAAACATCTAGCTCATTACTTCTCCAAGTACTGCAGGATTTTAGCTTTCTCAGCTTACAGAGTTTGCTAAATTATACATGTTTCTATTTATAGACAAAATAATTGGAAGACTGACCATGGATCTGCAGGAACGAGGGATTCATTTTTCAGTAATTTATACTGCAGTGAGACCTTCAAGGGTGAGTAATCTTCAGTGCCTAGAACTGTCAGATTTTTGGCATCTAACAACTTAATGTTTACAGAGGAATGCTGTAGATGATTTTCAAGATTACACAAGCAAGCAATCTGTATTTTATGAGGTTTTAACCAGAACTGATTGCTTGAATTTTCATGTACAATAGCTGTATCACATAACTATTGAAGTTTTACTGATCTCAGAGACCACAAATCTGCCATTGTCTTTATAACTTATTATTTTTAAAAACTGTAATTTTAGATTTTTTTCCATTTAACTCTAATAGTTTTACAGTAAGTTCTATGTGGAACCTTATGGAGCTTCCTAGTGTGGCTGGTCAGTAAAGACGGAATGTTTTTAGTCAATTGAAGGCTACTAATGTGTCCATTTTAAAATTAACTGGCTTCATTCCTTTTAGCCAATACTTGGTATTTACAACTGGAAGGTGGGTTTTACCCTTGCTGATAGTCAGAACATCATTTATAGATCACAACATATTATGTCAGCAGTAAGTAGCAATACAGAATAGTTATTTAGGTAGAGTTATCTGTTTTGTATGACATACAGGTTGTAATCAAGAAATATTTAAATTTTAATGTTAATGTAATTAAATAGAAGACAGTCATACCTTGAGGAAAAAAGTTCTCACAAAAAAGAGAGGCATATAAGGGATGGGCTGTATCCTAAAAATCAGCAGCTTTGAAAGAAACATCTCTCTGTTCCAGTGGTAACACATCTGAGCTCCTAATAAGATGCTTAGTTTAATTTGAATTTTAATTCAAACTCAAGATAATGTCACTTAAGAATACAGAATTATAATTTCCTTGGTTTAGGCAACAGGAAAGCCATTAGTGGGGTTGTCTAGATACAGTGTGAGCACTGCAGACAGAATCTTGAGAAGCTGGAGGATTTTCAGGAGGGAACACTATGAAAAATTCGTAACTGTTCTTAACACAAGAACAAAACTTTGGAAGCCTGTTTTAAATGGGTAGGGAGTGAAGTCCCTTTAGCTTATCCTAAAGAAGATTAAGGGGCAACTTGACTGTACTTCATAAATGTTTTTTAAGCCAAAAGGGAAGAACTCCCCGAAGGTGTTCTGCGTTCGATCAGAAAGAAGCCAGGTTTTTGCAGGGAGCTGGGATCTTGAACTATCCAACAAGATGATCAGAATCGTACCTTCAGACTGTAGGAAAAAGGCTAGTTCTACTGAGAAAAACAAGAACTTTCTTCAATAATCCACCCTGTGATTTCCAGAGACTGGATTTTGAAGACTAGACTTAGAATACAACGGCAGAGCAGCGTGAGGAAGCAAGCTCACACTGATATTCTCTGTGCTGTATGTTTTTGTGGTAAATGAGAGGACATGAGTCCAGGGCTTTTGATCTGCCCTTTTTGTAAATTTTTTTTAACAAAGATTCAAAAAAAGAATGCAAATGATTTAGTTGTGGCTCTTTACTGTTTGAAATTAAAGGGACATGGGCATTCTTAGCTGAATATTGCATTTAGAACAATTGGAATGAAAAATATTTTTAATTAATGAAAGAATTGGTGTCAAGAGAAGGAATTTTTCAAGCAATTTTTAAAGTTTGTTGAATTTTAAATCTATTCATATTTCAACAGGATTTCTAAATTAAAGTGACTTAGTTTGAGCAACTGGAGCACTTTTAAATAATTAAAGCAATGTATTTTAAGATGTTCTGCATTTTTTAAAAATAAGCAATTTAAAGTTTTCTTAATTCTGTAAATTCAATGCCATATAAAACCATTTGAAGCATATTTTTTCCCCCAAAGTAACTTTTAGTTATTTCAGTGCGTTCAAGTTTATCAGCTTCTATGCAGAGCTAGAAAAGGCAAAACAGAAAGTACCTTTGAGGGTTCATCAATCTGTAAATTTGCATGTAACCTCTTCTTTGTATGTATTGCATATCTTTGGCTGTGCTTGAGCTGCAGAAGGTGGGAACTGCTTTGTAACCTTAAGCTAAAGAAATAAGTCTCTTTGCTTAAGCTATAAAGACTGTATTCCATGATCTAGAACTTACAGGCTCTCTCTCCAGTGATAACCAAGATCACTATATATGAGAAGTAAAAGGCTTTGATCATATGGGAAAAGAGTTTACATTACTTAGTACATTTGAAAATCAATAGCAATCATTCAGCATGACACTTAAAAAAAAAAAAAAAAAGACAGGTCCTTCTGATCAGGTAAACTAATTTTATGCGATGAAGCTCACAAAAACTGGGGCTATGAGATCCTTGTCTCTCAGTAGCTCTACCTCCTTGCTGTTGGGCATTTGATGGCTTCATAACATCATCTTGTTATGTTTGCTCATTCTTCTGCTGCCTCAAGCAGAGAAAAATAAATGTGAGAAATGCATACATTGGAAAAGATTCCAGACTTTTATTGGCTTCACAGAAAGTGAATTAATGAGACAGGAAGCAAAACTCCCCTATGATTGAGTCTCTTTTCTGATTTGGTAACAAAGAGCTGTTTAGTTTAGCCAGTGCAGCCACAGATCCTGCTGGGCTATCATAGTTACCAGTTAATCACCCCAACGCACGATGGAGATTTATTGAGGCTTGTTCTTGTTCTGTTCCAGTTTCAGCATTTGAAGCTGGAAGACAGAATTAAGACCCTGAAACAGAGGTTGTTTGGTGACTTACCTGAAATGGTTTCACTAACCAGATGATTCCTCTGGATATCCCATCGTGTCATAAAGGAGCTGCCTTCCTCCAAGGCAGCTGCCATGTCTTGTGACTCTTGCTCTAAAATGCTTTGCCTTCAAGGTCTGGCTGAGTTGGGCTGACATTGAGAGAGTGATTTGTATCACCTAACTCTGTAAATGTATACATCTGAACTCATCAACCAGGGTTCTTTTTACAATCAAAGACATTGTACCGGGTGATCCTTCTGACCTATTTTGTAGGGAACTGCTGCAGGATGACATGAAACTCACCCATCATAATCTCCTTTGTCTCTGACAACCATAAAGGCAGTCATAGAAGCATAGAATGGTTTAGGTTGAGAAGGGACCTTTAAAGATCGGCTAGTTCCAGCCCCCCTGCCATGGCCAGGGACACCTGCCACTAGACCATGTTGCTCAAAGCCCCATCCAGCCTGGCCTTGAACACTTCCAGGGATGGGGCCTCAACAGCTTCTCTGGACAACCTGTTCCAGTGTCTCACCACCCTCAGAGTGAAAAATTTCTTCCTGATATCTGGTCTAAATCTGCCCTCTTCCAGTTTGAAGCCATTCCCCCTTGTCCCATCACTACATACCCCTGTAAAAAACCCTCCTCCAGCTTTCTTGTAGGCCTCCTTCAGATACTGAAAGGACATAATAAGGTCTCCCTGGAGCCTTCTCCAGGCTGAACAACGCCAACTCTCTCAGCCTCTCCTCAAAGGACAGGTGCTCCAGCTCTCTGATCATTTTCATGGCCCTCATTTGGACCTCAGACCTCATATAAGTCCTCGTGCTTAGGTCAGTTCTTGACATATACATTTAGTCAGCCAAATGTCACTCAACATTTCTCATCTTCTTTTCCATTAAAAACCAGAAACTTATCCCAAGAATTGAGGAGTGTCCTGCCAAGATCTTTCTTTCCTTTGAAACTCATTTGATAGCTTATTTTTCTTCAGGAGAACCACACCCCTCTGCAGTCCTTGTTCCACTCTTGCATCAGGAGTTCTTATGAATATATGAATTTTTGTGTTCTTGGGGACAATGATCAAAGTCACTACTCTACTTGTGCTTGCTGCTAGTTAGTTTTTTTGACTTGTGATTGTAATGCATAATTTTACCTGTGCTGTTGTAATCGGAGAGGTTAAAAACTCTGCAGTGATTGAAAGATGAATGTGCTTCAAATCATAAATCTCATCATGTTTCCCATCCTTCAGATCCTCATGGTGTCCATGTCACATTTTTACAAGTTTACTTCTGAAACTTCTTCAAGACAGTTTTATAGTTGTTATCTCTTTCCAGTTAGACTGAATGCTGAGGAATCACATATTGCCAAAAGGAGATTTATGGCTACTTCCCAGCAGATACTCATTTTGCTGACTCCACTTCTTACAGATGCATCTCTACTGCCTCCAGGTTTTCACAGAACTTCAGTTACCGTGGGCTTTTGACTGCTTCATTCTACAAGCTGTCTGCTCTAGTTGGCGTTCAAGTGTGTTGAGTCTTTGATCCCACTCAGAGCCAAACAACCTGAGTTATAGGAACTTTATTCAGCTGTAAGTAACATGGGCATCTGCAGCACAAGTGGTTGCATTTAAGTCTTAAAAAGAGTCTCTTGAAGGTATCCTCAGGTGCTATTGATGTGCACCTCAGCTGAAAAGAGAATGAAAAGTTTTTATCTTCTTTGACAAGTGTTTGTGGCTTCTACATAATGAATTTTTAAAAATGCATTACATGTTGCAGTGCTGCATCCATCTTCCACTTACATCCAACTCCTCTCTTTTTTGTTGACCATTTAGTTCACCACTCTGAGGAGACTAAACTTTGCAACAGCCACCCCACTGACTTCACCGCTTCTGATTAATGGAATGCTTTTAACCATTTAATGTACTCAAATATGATATAATGGGAGCTTTCCCATGAACAAAATGTTAGAAAAATGCTTATAATGCCATTTGCAGGAGTCGGGGTTGTAGGGTTAATATCCTCATGCATCCTTGAATATAATTGCCTTATTAATTTACTCTTGTATTTTTTACTTTTGAAGGAGCAATCATAGTTTAATATAGTATGATAAAGCATCAGTGCTTCCAACCTAAAAGAAGAAACCACGGGATTTCCTCATACTTTAGTCCTCTCCTCTCTCCACTTAAAGAATTCCATAATAATAAAAAATAAACTTTAACTTGTAGATAAAGAATATGCACTTAATTATTTCCTAGCTAACTCAGGTGTTTGGTTTTTATTTTTGCTTAATAGAGGTAGAGACTTTTTAAATAATTACAAAAGAACTGCTTAAGGCTGGCTGAAGCCAGTTAGTTGTCACT